GTAGATAATAGTATGTAAACACTTTTTTGTTGTTTTTTATTTACCCTTTATTCTGAAGCAAATGCAAGTTTATATATATATATATAAAAAAGTCCTGCTCATATGCAGGAAATGATTAAAAGCTTCAGTTCATGTGTTGAGCTCATACCACCGGCCCGATGGTGCCCCTCGCTCCTTTCTGCCCAACAAACCCCAGCTCCCCCGGATCACCGACTGGCCCAGTCTCACCTAAATGGCCTTGCTGACCTTTGCCCCCCTGGAGAAAGACCACCAGTAATCAGGTATGTACAAACACGCTGCCAGGAGTCTGACAACTCAAACATTTAAAGCTAAAACTCTTATTTGACCAGCACTTCAAACCCTGCTTGTAAAGGAGGTCGCTGACCTCACAGTTTGTTTACAAGTGCAGAGGAAATATTCAACTCCCTGTACAAAACAGCTAAAACTGAGACACCTGAAAAAAATGAAAGGTGTGTGTGTGGAGCCGAGCGAGTGAACCGACAAACCTTTTCCCCCGGCTTTCCGCCTTCCCCAATTTTGCCAGGTTTGCCCTCCTGACCCTGGTCAAAGAAAATCAAAAAGTGGGGCTTTAAGTGGACAAGAAAAGCTGTTTTTATTAGGAGTGAAAGAAATTTGAAGATGGCTGCTGAGGAACTCACCCTCACCCCCACAAATCCAGGTGGGCCCGGTGGGCCTTCCTTTCCTTTCAGGCCAATTTCACCTCTGTCTCCAGGGTCAGCCTCTGGGCCAGGCTCTCCCTTCTCCCCCTGGAAGAGTAATTTGGTGCGATGAAAAGGGTGGCCTTACAGTTTAACTGCACTTGTTTTCTTTTTTCTTTTCTTTTTTGTTTTGTTTTGTTTTTTGCAAAAGTCACAAGAAACCTTCGCATCACCTGCTGCTTTTAAAGCCAGAACGTTACTTTAAATTGTATATGTCTTCTGGACTGGTTCTTCTCTAATGAAACGTTTCGTCTCTCCTCCAACAGACTTCTTCAGTCTGAGAGTTTCAGGCAAAATTCAGGCTTTTAAGCCCTGCCTCCACGTGACTGATACTCACATCACATGGCTATGACACCTAATTAACACCTATTGTTAACAGGGGGTGGAGTAATACTGGCAATAGCAGCACTGTAGGAGGGGGACAACTGAAAACGGAGGCCTCCGCCTCTGTTTAATGATGGACGGTCTTTCTTCACAAAAATGGCTTCTTTTACTCCTCTCTCGAATTACTTTAAACTCAAATGACTTCATGCAGGATCTCATGTATTATTGTGAAATCTGTTATCACCAGAGGTGTATAACTAATAAAGTAAATAGGTTTTTTGAGTATTTATTTTAAATTCTGACTTTTACTTTTATTTCATTCAAAATTTAACACAATGTTACACGTTGCAATTTTAAAAATAACCAGAACTCATAATGAAAGGAGTTGTTTATACACTCTAAAAAAATGAAGTGTTGAATTTACTCAACCATTTCAACTGGTTGAAAAGGTTGAGTAAATTGCTTTACGTTTACCAAGGTTTGTTTAGTGGAACCAGTTGACATAACTTGGTTAAGTAAATTCAACACTTCTTTTCTTAGAGTGTGTGTAAAAGTACTTTTTCTTGACTGATTATTGTGAACAGTTGTTTGACTTTTACTTACTTTTCTTATAAGTGAAAATCATTTTTACCAAAGTCATTTTTTTAACTTTTACCGAGTTATTTTTAAACTTTAAAGGGGCAATATCATGTAAAATCAACTTTTTTTTAGTTTTATATCATGTTATAATATTATACTCTCATAAAAAACATGCCCAAAGCCTTGCTCTGACTCATTCAGGCATGTTTGAGAAATCCTGCAGCGTTTTTAGGAAGCCATGTAGAGGAGCAAAACGACAGGTGGAGACCAGAAATGCCTTTTGGTACCATGGAACACCCCTGGGACGTGTCTTTAAGCTGAACTTCCTCTTGTCGGAGTGCCCCACCCACCCGCTCCACGACTCCAGCAGGCAACGTGCTGAAAGGGGCGTGACCGAAGTGGTTGGATTTTCTTAAAGGGACAGAGACCTATTTCAAGACGTTTAGAAACTGTCAAGATGAGGAGTAAACTGTTTTGTGGATTTTTACAAATATTTAGCTCTTTCATAAGCTGAAAATATGACATACTGTTGTTACTTTATTTTAGTATTAAATTGAAATATAGGCTTGGAAAGCACATAATATTGCCCCTTTAAATTTAAACTTTATCTTTCAGAGTGTTGAGGGTGACTTTCAGCTACCATCACATAAAAGCTTACCTCATTACTGGTTAGTTTGCTAATTTGACAGCCATTTTTATGTTTGTTTGAGCTACCACCACACCAGATTTCAACCTAATTTCTGTCAAATTGATGGAGCTGCAGCCATTTTTGAGTTTTCTATAATAAGTTGGCTGTGGTGACCATCTTGAATAATTGACTCTAATAGTTAATCAGTTAATTAGTAGATTTAGCTCCAATAAATACGTTCTGAAAGCTTCGTTAAAATCTGTCTTGATATTTTGCTAAAACAGACAAATGAACATTCAGATGAGCAAAAACATTACTGCTCTTTTGTTTGTGGCCTCAGGTTATTAAAATAAAGCTCTTTTTTGTTATGTTTACATTGAGCACCATCTATATGACTTGTACAGAAACAGTTACTTCTATATTTGCTTCCATATTTAAAAAGTCATTTTTTATATATAACATATAAAAACTTAACTTTCACCAGCTTTAAATGGCTCGAGAGCTCATAGTCTTTCATTTTCCTCTAAACCACAGATAATAAGGCCTCGTCTAATAGGTCTGGAGGTCTTTGTGCAAAAACACGAGGTTATTATTTACCAGTCTGGGGGAGTTTCGTTCCTGAGAGTGTTGAAGTTTACAAATAAAACCTTACATTTTATCCATTATTCACAGACCTTGAACAAAAAGTTCTGCTGCTGCGTTCTGAGCTCCAGCTGAAGTTTCTCCAGTGACAGCTCAGGCGTGTAAACAGAGAGCTGCAGCCGTTGAGCCAGAATGACACACAAGCATGACTTATTTATTAGTTTGACACAGCAGGCTGTGAATTGGAGCTATTTCAAAAGATGAAAATACAGGAATGTGACTTGACATGTTGTTCAAGGTGTTTATAGTCCCACAGCGTTGCATGTCATCAGAAAGTAGGCCAGAACTTCAGTTCTGATGCAATTTTAGTGAAAGAAGCTGTCTGTCCGTTTAACTTTTTAAAGTGTAAAAGTCTCCTTCCTTCTGAGAAAACAAACCATACAGAATGGTATTTTGTATAAATCATAATAAATGTAATCAAAAACTAATGAGCAAGAAATTAGAGTGAAACACATGAGCCCACACAAAAAACAATTCCAACAAGTCGTACATAAAAGCAGAAGCAGACGTAATCAAAATGTCATTTGAGACTAAAGAAGATGGAAATAAATAATAAAATCCTGACAGATGTCTCATCGTAGATGAATGTTTCAAAAAGTGCATTGAAATTTCTTTTCAAACTTACAGAAACTATTTTAGTCTCGTTGCACTGCTTGGCAGATTGAGCTCCCAAAATACTTCTTTTTTTTTTTTTTTTTAAAGAGAGTGTCAACTCACTGCAGAGTCAAACATAACAAAATAATACCTGCTTCAGTAGAAAGAAGCTACTGAAATAAACAGGAGAGCTCACCAGGTTTGCAGAATCAGTCACAGCTGAACTCATACAAGTTGTTTTGTCTTTAAACTTGCCTTTACTCCGTTAGGTCCACTTGGTCCACCGTCTCCGTCCATGCCCACCTCACCCTGACAGACACATGGTAAAAACACTCAGGTTGCATTTGTTTACCTTAACATAGGAAACAAAAATTGATGTAATTCTGTATGAGGCACCAAGTGTGAAATGAAATGCTAAAAAATTTCACTAACATATTTTTCATTATTTAGCTCACTTTCTGAGCATTAAAAATTTTCCACTAACATTTCATTGTTTTTTTTTCACTGTTCTTACATTTTGCAAACATTTACTAAATGATAAATTTAAATGTTAAGAAATATATTCAGATCTTATATCTTAAATCTAAATATTTAAATCTAAATTTTGAAGTTCACATTTAGGTATTTTGGAAGGGAACGCAGCGTTTGCTGTTGGTGCTCGGCTCAGGTTATGACATCATCATCCTGAGACAATAGCAATCGCTAGCTAAAGCTTCTCTGTGAGACATATAACTTGCAGTTACGGCCGGTGTCCAAACTGCATTTCAAACGGCTGGAGCACAGGTCCTGTCAATACTGTTTTTTAAGAACATGTATTGAATTTAGATATTAATACTATCTCCAGCAGCACTAGCAGTGGCTATTGTTTATGTGTGTCGCAGGATGAACGCTGTGTCCAGAATGGGAAGCCGGGTTCTCCAAAGGCCGAATTCGTCGGCCACTTACGTCAGCGGTGAACAAATGCATTCTTCTTTTGCCCTGAACTGAAGGACTGGTTCGATGGATCCCTACCGGCCCACCATATCCCATAATGCATTGCGGCTCAACCGGAGATTTATTTTATGGTAGTAATAAGCGGACAAAGCCAGAGAAAGGAATATGTTTTAAATAAAAATCTGGCTGTATAAATTTGACAATTTTCAAGTGATTGTGTTGTTAAAGGGATCCCCGATTAGTTGTAACATTGGACTTTATTTGATAAACATATATTTTAACTGTGAAATAAAGACTGTAAAAATACTGTAGGATGTTTAGTTTTAATCATTTTTAAACTAAAAGTTTAAAAATATATCACACGGACGGAGCCATTTTATTTGCACACAAAGCATTCTGGGTAAATTATGATGTGGATAGGTCCTCGGTGCGAGGCTGCTAGCGAGCTATATCCACCCTGAAGGTTAATCTTGGATAATATCTGATGATCGACTCTTTTAAATGAAACCAGAGAGCGTTGACAGAGAGGAGAAGGTAGAAATGACTCCGCCTGTAACTGAAAAAAATGGATGGAGGACCTCAGTTTAGATTGTTAGTTTGTCGCGCTAGCACCGAGCTAAAACATATAAGGCAATGTAGCGTCAGCGCCAGCACAAAGACTAACAGGCTAAGCTGGGTTTCTTCCATGAAGCAGCTCTGTTGTCCTCCATCCATATTTTCAGTTCCAGGCTGAGTCATTTCTACCTTCTCCTCTCTGTCAACGCTCTCTGGTTTCATTTAAAAGAGTCGATCATCAGATATTATCCAAGATTAACCTTCAGGGTGGATATAGCTCGCTAGCAGCCTCGCACCGAGGACC